ACTATTGACTAGGATGTGAAATTTGATTTTTTAAATAAAATGTTAATGATGGTTACGCGCGACTGCTTTTTATGTTTTCAAAGATTTTATTCGATTGAGTAGTGTGAAAACATGAAATTAAGAATTGCGTGAAGAGATGGGTTTTCTCATTTTTTTTTTGGAATTTTGAAATAATGCAGTGTCTCCGTGTGCCAGTTATTTAAATTAATTGAGTGAAGAAAGTTGTGTGAAGTACCTTCAACCACGGGCATCTTTCTTTAATGGATGGGTTTCAAAGAGGCTTGAAAATGCAATCTCCACAATTTTACAATTAAATTTGATGGCGTTGAACTTTTCATTCCCAGTTGTGTAATTTTAATAGTTAATACCAACAAATTAAGAAGAAACAAGAAGAAAAGTATATTTTGTGATACCATCCAAAACCATCTGGTCAGTAACTGCAACTCATGCGTCCTATAATGTGGTTTCAATGGACTATGATATAGTACCCTAAAAACTCCGTGGACCAATTGAGAGATGTTAGCTCATATCAACCGGTCCAGAATAACTTTTTGCTCGGCAATAGGGTTTGACTCTGTTAGGGAGTTCGGTATAATACATGTAAACTCTGGTTGTGGATTAGAAAGCTAGGCTTATCCAATAACTCGGCCAAATGAGATGTTAACATTACCTAGAGGTCATGATCGAGGTCGTATGAATGAAAAATGATGGAGGCAGAAACGTGAGGTCGATACGAAGACCATGGGGACCTGCTGAATCCTTATAAAAAAATAATAGTCCTGTTAGTATGGAAATGTATCTTGATATAACATCCATAATAGCTCGGAGAACCAATTTGACTGGTTGGTTCGGGTATGGCTGATTCTAAAGAGATCAGCTTGTTCTCGGTATTCGACCTTATCAAGAAACTCGCTTAGGCAACTCAAGGTTCATGTTGGTGCGGTCAAAGGGCTCGAAGGTCGGAGAACATCAAGAGATCGGGTACTCGAGGGGACCTCATGACTCGTAAGTTGTAGAGGTGGAGGTTGTAATTATGACCTAGGTACAACTCACGGCAGGTGCATGTAGGTAGCGGGGTCGTGGTTACGACCTCCAGACCTAAGAGTTGTTTGGAAATGGAGGATAAAATTCTTCATGGATGGAAGTATATTTTGCTGAAGAGCATCATATCATAGAGACGTTGTAAGTTAAGAAAGTGGATATGAGATGATCACTTTCTTAATTAGGACTCATCTATATATATATAATTTGGAACAACAAAGCATTAAATTATATTACCTAGCATTTAGTAATATTATCCCTCTAAAATTTGAGCATTTAATTATATTATCCCTCCAAAATTTGAGCATTTAATTTTATTATCCCTCCAAAATTTTCAGCATTAAATTATATTATCCCTCCAAAATTTTCAGCATTTAATCATATATCCTATTGTATCGAAACGGTTATCTTCTATTTGTATTAAATTACATCCTCAAATCATGCATTTTATTTGAATTATTAGACATAAAACGCGTAAGCATTGATATATAATCATTTTAGTTGCAAATCATAAGAAAATAAATTAATTACGAAAGTACATATTTAAATTTGAATAAATCAAATCTCTAATATGTTGTTGCTATTGTACCTGCAAAATAACAGTAAATAAATTAACAAAGGAAGTATTAGCTATAAGTATTAAATGTCATACTATCACTTTATAAAACGATTATTATAAAATGTGATATCATTAAACAAAAGCAACAAATAACAAGAAAATTGAAAAAAAAAATCCCCTAATTTGTAATATACATCAAACTATCATAACATCATGCTATAATCATACAATTAATTTTATATACATGTGGGTGGAGAAATCATGTCATTATATGTATTTTATTTATTTTCTTTGTTCTAATGTCTTAAATAATGAATAAAAAACGTGTGAAATCAATTTTTCATAATCTAATTTACTTTATGCCTAAAGCTGAAATATAATTTATTTTTATTTTTATTTTTATTTTTTGCAAAAACACTCTTAAAAAATTTAAAATCTGCTATCAAACATCTCTGAATGTTGTATTCAAAATTTGCTATCAAACACATAATCATGGTGTCCTATGCTATGACGATCTACAAGAGTCAAGACCAGTCTCTCACACGTCGATTTTGTCTTGAAGAACCCTGTTTTCAGTCATGGACAATTATATGTGGCTCTTTCTAGAGTCACAAACCGGAAGAGTTTGAATATAATGATATGTGGTGATGGTCATTCCGACGATAGGAAAACCTTGAATGTTGTATACAAATAAGTATTTAATAATATTTAGAATTATTTTCTTAATTCATTTTTTTTAATTAAATCATGATTTTGTATTTTTTTTTTATATTCATAACTCTTCTAATTATTCTCTTCTGTGCAAATGCACGAGTTGATTACTAGTTAGGCATCAAAATACCCTATTACAAAAGGGTAACCAGGTTCTTATTTTTTATATCTCTCATATACACATACATAAGAATACATATTACTGTTTTTTCCTCACGAGCGAAGAATGACTAGAGCGTTGGAAGTTTTTCGCCAGGACCCCTCCCTAGCGTTTTACAGGTTATCGCAGCTCGAAGCCGACATCCGTTCGTGTTTGTTCTGGCTTAATCCAGTTCAAGGCAATTTTCACATCAAATTGGCGTCGCATGTAGGAAAAACTTAGCCTTTTATCGACTATAAGGTACTAATAGATTTTTTCTCACAAGAAGTTTTCAAGATTTTGAAGATCTTGCCAGACGATAGCTCCAAGAAGAATCTGACTAGGAAATCGAATTAGGTGTTGAAGTAATGAGTAATTTGGACATGCCCCCAGCAGGGTTAGTCGAGGTTGACCGACGTGCTTATCACGCCTCAGGAGACGCTGCCAACACCTTACACAATGTTAACCCCAGTGTCAAATGCATCAGGGAGACGTTTACCGAGGTAGGAGAAAGTGGTTGTCCAACAGAAGACAGAGGTATAGGAAGTACAAGAGCAGGTAGTGACTTAGGGTAAAGGGTGCAACAACAGGATGATCCAAGGGTCCACCGACCTTAGGAATAGGTAAAAGGACAATCATTGAATCACATGGAATAAGAGGTTTCGAGGGAAGACAATGTTATCCAACTTACAAGTGCAGAGTTGGCTAGAATCGTGGTCCAGGCAGTAGCTCGAGCTCAAGCGTCCGATGAGCCAAATCTCAATGGACCATCACCGCAGCCTTAGAAGAGACCGAAAGAGATGAAGGTGAGGTCCACATACTTTCCCACTACCATATCATGACTAGTTCGGGATGTCACACTTGAAAGGTTGGAAGCCCAGCTGTGTAAGCTGCAGGCTCGGGTTGAAGGCAGGGTACACCTCAGATCCATGGTCACCCATTTGCCGGACATGTTTTGGAGGCATATTTGGCTAACAATTTATGTGAGTTGTATTTATATTAGGATGGTTCGACGGGTCCAACATGGCATCTGAGGTCGTTCTATTTCATAGCGGTCCTCCACAGGTACAACAATGCGGTTTGTTGTAGAGCTTTCTTTACCACACTGAAAGGGTCGGTGTAAGATCGGTTCCACCAATTCTCGATCGGGTCGGTTTACTTTTGAGAGATTCAACTCTTTGTTGTAGTGCTTTAGGGATTTTATAAAAAGTCCCCCTAACTCTTTTCCTCTCCTCAATTTTGATATAATTTGTAAATAAAAAATTAATCATTGCACACATTAGGCCATCTCCAACCGAAAAACTCAAACTCAAACCCATTTTGCAGTAAGTGTCCCATTTTGCAGTAATTCATCTCCAACCGACAAACTCATTCTCAAACACAAAAGAATATTATCTTTTACACCAACTTTTATAATTTTTTAATACTACCCACATATTTTACAACTTTACAAATTAAACCACACTATTATTTTAAATTCAATTTGTATTTTATGTAATTAAAATTAATTATACATAATAAAATCGGAGAAATAAGTATTCATTAAAAATTAAAATTTGGGCACACAAATAAAATTAAAAATTGTAATTCACTAGATGAAAAATTAAAAGTTACAACACACAATATAAAATAAAAAAATTACAACGCACAAGATAAAATTAGAAATTACAAAACACAAGATAAAAATTAAAAAATTACACAACACAAGATAAAATAAAAAATTACAACAATCACGTAAAAATAGATAGTCTTTTAAGTCTCGGAGTTGGCGAATTCTTCCCACAAATGAAATTAATTATGAAATTAATTTTCTTTATATAAGTAATATTCATTAATATAATAATCATATAATATAAATTAAATGAAGGGACTAAATATAAAGTAATATTCATTTATTTAATTATCATATAATATAAATTAAATGAAGGGACTAAATTTAAAGTAAATTAATATATTTTACCATTGTTAATATAAATAGTTATAGTATTTTGTAAATATAAAACACTAAATTTAATACATAGTCAATTGTACATTTTAAAAAAAAAGATGAGGACTAATTTGTGATTTTCTAAAAATTTTGCGATGTCCTGAAGTGCAAACGCATATTTGCGTCAATAGGAGAGAGAAAAGGGGATTAAACGCATTTTACGTTTGAGTTTGGGAATCGGCTGGAGCAAATTTCTTCCCTATTTTGCGTTTTCCAGTTCGGTTGGAGGTGGTCTTAGTATATAATTAATATTGTTCATCATAGATTTACATCTTTAAATCATTATTTTCCTCTAACATTATAATTAAATTTCTATCACATTACTTTAAATTAATAAAATTATTAATTATTTTAATAAATCTTATTTCTTCAATTATTTTTTTTCCAAATCAAAATATATCCAAATTCACCCTTTTAGTTTTTACCTTTCCCGCCCAAAAAGAACAAAAGATCAAAATAAAAATCAAGCTTATATATTTCCCACAGCGATTTGAAATTGGCCCAAGTTTCGTACACTCTCAAACCACACTGTTTTTCGCTCCCCCGCCCTCTCGAGATACGATATGATATCCACAAACACTGAGAAAAGAGCAAAGCTCAGGACCTCAACAATGTCTGCCGCAAAAGCAAGCGTGAAGCGAGTTTCGGAGTCGGAGAACGTGAAGTCCAACCAGCGGAGGCGAACCGTCGTCGATGATGATTTTGACGCCGCCATCTCCAAGTCAGATTTCTGTGGCAATTTCTCTCCGATTGCCGATTTAGTACATTTCTGCTTCTGTATACGTTTCTCTTTTCATAGTATAAATCATGGAGCTCCGGTCTAAATGCAGCGACATTAAAGGCATAATGAGCGCTCTTCAGCAGATCAAGGAGAAAGCGCAGATGGATGGCCAGAAGAAGAACGAGGAGACGATTTCCAGGTGAAAATCTCTTCATAATCCTCAGATGAATCACCGATATGTGTGGCTTAACTGTGTATCAGTTCGTGTTTCTAGTTTCGTTCTCAGAATCTCTTTTAACCATGGATCGGATAGAAGTTTAGGTCGGTTCATGTGTTAGAACGCGTTTGGGGATCTGATTGTTTTGAATCTACACTGTTTGATTGGATTTCCTTCTAAAGTATGTAGAATTGACAGTGTTATCCATTCGGCCAGTTCTAAGCTCTTATAAATTGATTTTGGTTACATTTTGATTCATCTCCACGTAAAATCATCATTGCTTTATTTGAAGCTAAAACATGATAGCTTATTATCCTGTCATTTTATTCATGTGTTCCGGCTGTTGCGTGCTGAAAACAAATTAGGCTGGAATCATATTTTTATTTCATCGTTACTTATTTATGTAGCGAGTCCTTGGCATGTGCTGTTATAATGTTTGTGAGACAAGTCATATAGGTTGGTTAATAGTGTTCATTTGTTGGCAGTGTGGCCTCAGAGATGAAAGCAAGATTGGATGAGCTGAAATCGAAACTTGAGAAAGAAAGGTGAGATGGCATAAATTATCAAGTTACAGACATTATACTTGCCTGATTATTATTATGGCTCTGATTTGCATTTTATAAGCATGTTTCTTGACGATAATTGACAGGCAGAGCTTTGCCAAGGGACTGCTAAAGAGCTCGAAAGAGGTCTTCTCATAGATTCAATGAACATGAACTGGTTCGATTCAGTAATATTGTATGGCTTTGCTGCTTAAGGTTGTCTTAGTTGTATTTGCCCGTGTAGTGTGAAAATTTACTGAAGAATGAGACTGCCAAGTTTCAAGAACTTTTTGAGAGGTTCTCCAAGGAGAAATCCACACACTTGCAGGCCTTGAAAGGTAATCATGCCATATCCTCTTGTCATTTGTTTGATCTTTGAGGAGCTCTTTTATTTTGGGCAGCACCACGATTTGAAATTATTTTACTTATTTGGTCACAGCTTTAATTTCTGTCCAAAAATAATATCTAGAGTGCAGATATCAGAAATTTGGAAAAACAGCATATGGGCGAATTTATAGCTAGAAAGAAATGCTATATTTGCTTACTTTCAGTCAAGTAGTCTATAAACTAAAAGATGGAAATGTCATGAGCTTAAGACAGAATGTATTTCTATCTTCCAAAATTTGGTGGCTCTTTACATCAATTTGTACAGGGAAAAAAAGCCAAGATGTCTTTGAATTTTTCTGCAGGTTTGAATGTTTTGCTTCATCGTCGTTACCCAATTTATTTTCCTGTGGTGTCTTCATATACTTATCTTTATCTATCTGACACCTGAGTTATGCTATCTCTTATATTTGTTCCTACAAGAATGTAAATGTATTGTTTATATATCGAGGAGTATAGTTCTGATTTTTCTGTGTTGTGTCGGCACTAAAATATACTTCATTTTTTGGGAACGTTGGTTCTGGGGCCCTTAGCATTATCTGATATTGCATCTTATTCGCGTTATGAGTTATGACAGACACTGTTGCCAAATATGAAGAAGAGAAGGAGATGCTATTTGC